GCTTATACATACTTGTACATACATATACATACATATACATACGTATACATACATATACATACATATACATACATATACATACATATACATACATATACATACATATACATACGTATACATACATATACGTACATATACATACATATACATACATATACATACATATACATACATATACATACATATACATACATATACATATACATATTATATATATATGTGTGTGTACACACACATATGTATCTACTATGGGCTCTATGTCTATCTTCTGCCTCGTCTCGCGGATTCCCCAACCCCAGGTTGGCTTCCAAATCTTAAACCGATTCAGATTCAGGGTTTAGGGTTGCACCCTCGCCCCGCTTCTACTTTTGGGATTCTGCGGGGGTGATACCGACGCCGAGTGGGGCGGAACCTTTAGGGCTACCCTAAACTTTGCACTTAAATCCTCAACCGCTGAAGCCCTAAACGTTGAACCTTTCGGAAGTTGCCGCCTTTCAGGAACTCATACTGCTGTCCGACGCCCACGTGCGTCACGTGAAAGACTCCCAGCTGCTTTGGGTTGCACAGGAACTTCGTCTTATCGCAGACATAAGGACAAGCATCCTCAAACTTGACCTCGAAAAGGTCACCCATGACTTCTCTATTCCTTATTGTCGAGTTCATAAGCAAAAAAACAAGGCTTACACTCACAGTGTTACGGAGAGGCTATAGTGTGCCAGCAAAACGTGCAAAACTTCTTCTTCCAGCTGCCAAGATAGTTTCACTTGGAAAGAGTCGTCTACTCCCGGGCAGACATCAGGGAGATGGATTAATACATTCAGGAAGGAGGTCCCACACTTCGGGATGTGCACCCACTTCAAGGGCTCGGCGGCCAGCAGTGCCGGCGTCGCCGTTGTCCCTTCAGCTTTTCGAAAGCCGTTTCCACGACTGACGGTATGAAGGTCGCTTCCGGAGTCCAGATGCCTGGGTTCTTGTGAAAAGATGTACTTGAAGTTACTATAATAAGGAAACCATGTTATTTACTATAGATCCATTTAAGTTAAGTTACTATAATAAGGAAGCCATATTATTTACTATAGATAGACTATAGATCCATTTAAGTTAAGTTACTATAATAAGGAAGCCATATTATTTACTATAGATCCATTTAAGTTAAGTTACTATACTAAGGAAACCATATTATTTACTATAGATCCCTGCTATGGTAACTTAAGACTAAAATTCGTAGCAAGAGCCCAGCTGCAAAGAGACCGGAGGTCGCTTGCCAGGCTCCTGAGACGTCAGCTGCTTCGCGCCCTTCTTGAACCTGAGGCTTGACGGTTTAGGGTTTAGGGTTTGGGGAACCTGTGGCTTGGCGGAAGTTCGGGTATTTCGGGGCAGGACTACGTAGAAGACCTTAAAAACCAATCTCGGGGGTTGAGAGAAAAAGAAAGGGAGCTCTAAACCTAAGCCATAAACCCTTATAGAGGGATTCAGGGAAACAGCACAAGAACCGAGGTGCATGCCATTTGCCAGGAAGAGGACGCTAAAGAATATGAAGGCCCTGCCGGTTGTCGCCATGGTCTCTCGACTGGTCCCGCAAGGCGGATTCCCAGATTTCTGGGAGGGTTCAGTCTCGGAAGCACTTCTGGCTCAAGGAGCCAGAATGCTGAGGAAAAAAAGGCCGGTAGACTTCGATGTTCACAAAGCAACTCCAACTTAACATCAAACCCTTCACCCTAAGCTAAACATACCCGCACACAAGCTGACTTTCTTCTTCCCCCCCTCCCCCCGGAATGGAAAGTACAGAAGATGAGCCCTCACCAGCTCTCTTCGACGCGGTTCGGGCTTTTCAGGTATAGGTTCTGGCCTCTCCAGCAAAAGTTTTCGAATCCAGCAAGATGAAGAAGCTTAGGTTTTGAGGCTAAGGGTTAAGGGGTTGAGGATTAGGGTGCAGAGATTATAGGGTTCAGGGATTAGGGTTCATGCAATATACGGTTCAGGGATTAGGGCTTCAGGGGTTAGGGTTTAGGGATTAGGGCTTTAGGGGTTAACCGCTGGCAAGGCTCCAAGCCCAAACTCCCAAAACCCTGCAACCGAAACCCCACAACCTGGGTTTCCCAGAGACTCCAAGATCCCTGAATTAAGGAACATATGCCATAAAATTATAATAGGAACCCCAAGAAGAATTAAGGGAATATTCCTTAAGTATAAGGGATATTGGAGTCTCTGATTTCCCGCTGGCGCCAGGTCACGAAACCGCTTGACCCAGCGGTTCGTCTCGAACTCCTGGGACCGGAGCTTTCGGACAGTAGGGCACTTCTGGCCAGAGCCCCCCGAACCCCTACACCCCTAAACCCTAAATGCCCATAACCCCTAAACCCCTAAACCCCTAAACCCTAAGCCCAAAAGGCCCATGTCTCTGGGACTTGAGGGGAAAATGCGCCCTTTGTCATGGAGCAGGGTCTTGCTAGCTGAACTTTTTCCGTCTGTGAGAGGGCGCCCAGGGGAGTTGGAATCTACAGTAGGGTGCAGGCTGCGGGCTTGCCACTCCACTCTGAACCCTGAATCCGAAATTTCGCATCTTGTAGCATGGTGTTTCGGAGTTTGGAGCTTGAGCCCTGAACCCTAAACCCTAAGCCCTTAAAAACAAAGCTCAGAGCTTCATGATGGCAGATTCTACCCCACGGACGACCCGACTAGCAACCATGCAAACACTTGAACACAAAGCTCCTGGAATAGTACTTAGGGTTTAGGGTTTAGCTGCAATTGTTAAGGCCCCCCCCATAGGCCCTATTCCCTAACCCTCCAGGTACCTACTTTTCTAGGGCCCCAGGGGCTTTAGTGCCCTCTAGAGTAGGTACCCGGAGGGTTAGGGAGTGAGCCGCCCTAGGTCGAATCTCGACCCTCAATCGCTGCCGGGTGCGGTGTATCTCCACCATGATGACACCTGCTCCACCCTGAGCTGCTCTGTTCTAGAGCTCGGGGGTCGGGTGACGCTGTTTCCCCATAGCTACGTTAGCTTCTTTTCTGCAGCGGTTTGTTGTTCTCAATCTCGGCACTGCGGTCTGCATGCATGCATAGGGCGTGGGGCCGCAGGCACAACCCTAAACCCTAAACCCTAAACCCACCATGATAGAAACGGGCTTTGCAGGCACCAGGGCGGAAAGATCTAGGGCCCCAGGAATCCCAAACCATGAACCTTTTACAGGTGAAACCCACCCCCGAATCACCAACTCAGTAACTCCTGGCTTTAGCTTAAAGGCCTCAGAGATGCAAGGTTTGGGCTTTTGGGTTTGGCGGCAGAGGAGGAGCTTGACATTTTTATGGCTTTGTTGCTTTGGTGTCCAGGGTTTTGGGGCTCGGGGGTCTAAATTGGGGGGATTCACTCGCACCCCTCTTATTATCGACACTTCCGCATTCCCGTGGCACCCGGAAGCCTGTACCGTCAAATGCTGAAGGCTGAAGGTTGTGGAGCTGCTACAAACCACGCACAAGGTCCCTTCCAAGAGTCGCTCAAACCAGAAATCAATCAAGCGACAGCCTCAATTCTGACCTGCGCGTTGCAAAAGTAAGGCGTGGTATTTAGGTGTTCAGATTTCGGCATTACTGTTGTTGGCGCTTGGTTTGTACAACTTGCCCGGTGTGGTGCTTCGTGCATACACTGTTGTGAACAGATTGTGAGCAGTATCCCTAGGGCACCAAGACCCTAAACCCTAAACCC